GCAACCAAAAAAAAATTTCAGATTTTCACGGACATCTGGATGGAGAGAAAAACAGATAAAAAGAAATTGAAATTTTGAAAGAATTCCTGAATTACAAGAACTTTTGGCCCAAAAAAAACAATCTTTAAGTTTCTAAAACACCTTCTATGGTCCAGACTACAAATGATGTCTCTCATTCGCTGAGCCCATATTTCAAACCATATCCTCCCAGAATTTCAGGTAATTTTTTTCCTAAACTTCCCATCCCAATTCAATTGAAAATGTTCTAATATGAGATCTCCTGCCGTTTTATTATCTCAATTTCTCAATCTCTCACACCGTGGAACAGGGTTAGTCGAAAATTCTGATTTCTTCTCTTTTAGAATTTCTCGGAATTCGTATTGAATATGGGTTATTCAAAACATTCTGGTTTATTTTTAGTGTTTTTATGTATTTTTGCAGCTGCTGTATTGATTTGGAGGTTTACGGTAGGTCATGAATTCTGAGATTGGGACTTTTTTTTTGAAATTAGTTTTGAATTTTCTGGAAAACCTTTGAAAAATTTCAGACAAAATTATTTTCAGAGCATTTTTACGGATTACCGAGTATTTCGACAAAAGGATTTTCTACTGACTTTGAATGATTTGTCGGCACAGGTAAATTTTTATTTTTCAATTAGTTTTTTTACATTTTTTGAATTTCCAGATTCCATCGAAGACATTCATGAAGATTATGAATTTGATGAATTTGCAAATAATCTGAAAGCAATGCCAAAAGCACCGTACTTGATTTTGGTAGGAATGTTTTCAGAAATTGGAGGGAAATTGAAGTTTAGAGAACGAAGATCTGAAAAAAAGGGTTTTTGAGAATTTGAGAATGTGCAATTGAAGGTTGCAAATTTCCAATTTTTACGAGTTTCCGAATTCTTGAAATTTTGACGTTTTCCGAATTGCTGGATTTCCGAACTTATTTTTTTTTGAGTATTTCAGACATTTTAATTTTTCTGAATTTCTGAATTTCTGAATTTCTGAATCTTTTTTTTTTGAAAAAATTGATTTATTTTCTATCGAATTTTGAAATCTCAATTTTTCCAATTTCCCCAATTAATCATGCTTGACGCAATTCTAAAAATCGAGATCTCCCGTCTCGCTTTTTTTCAGTTTCGCGAAAATTTCTATCGCTCATGGGAGAACTAGGAAATTTTGAATTTTCTCTCTTATATATGCTTTAAAAATCAAAAGAAACTCAATTGCCAACCTAATAAACAATCTTCCTCATGTAGATACGTCTGTTGGTCCTCATGTCACGCTGTCTTTGAAAAAACTTAAAAAATACGTATAGATTACGTGACCCTCTAAGAAAACGTGAATGGTGGAACGACGAATAAAGTGAAAAAAAAACTAGATCGGATTGCGCCGAAGGGGCACCAGCTTGCTGGTATATAAAACGCTACACGCGTCTGTCCGTCCCAGTGTCACTCTGACGACTTTTGGAAAAATCTTGAAAAATACGTATAGATTACGTGACCCTTTTAAAAAAAGTGAAGCATTGAGCGACCAACAAGTAAAAAAACTAGGTTAAATCGCCCCGAAGGCGCACCAGCTTGCTGGTAAAAAAATGTTTTCTATTTTTGAAGTCAATAAAATGATTTATCTTTTCTTTTTCACAATCAATTTTCTCATCTTCTTTCCGAATCTTCAGATTTTCAAAAAAAAAAAAAGAAAAAACATTGTGTAAGCCTCTATCCGGTTATTCAATTTGAGATAAAAATCAATGGATATCGGCATAAAAAATTACGAAAAAATTCGAAAAAAAATCTTGATTGGATAAAAGCTTGTTTTAGGAAAATTGTCTAAAATTACATTAAAGGAGGACAGACAGCAAAAATTTCGGGGAAAATTTCAGGGAATGTGTATTTTGCCGTCGCGGTGTTAGCACCTAAAGCGCGCAATCCCATGCGCAAACATTATTATTTTTTTATTTCCCGACTTTATTTATTCAATTTTTACGACTTCAAACATTAAAAAAGCTCTTTTTTCTTATTTATTATAAAACCCATATAAAAGTGAATTTTTTTATGTAAATTTAAAGTTCTATCGACCGATTATTTTGCCAGTCGCCGGTGTTTTTTATAGGCATGCGAAAAAAACTATTTTCTCTTCGATAACCGTTTCTTCACTGTTCCTATTTATCTCATTACTTCTCGTTATTACTCTAGGAATAAAAAACTGTTTTATGACTGGGGTTTTCAGAGACGTCTCCATTTTTACTGCTTCCTTCACCTTCCGACGACCAGCCCTGCACGAGGATTGTTTTAATTATGTGGTTTTTTTTTCAATTGTTATGTCTCTTTCTAAAAATTAATTGTACTTTTTTTCATAATTTATTTGTTAACAATAAAACACGTTTCTTCATTTTCAACTGATTTTGGTACCTCGGAGCGAGGCCTCGGCGGCACGCTGGTAGCCCTTCAGAAATTCCGAGTTCAAAAAGTTCAATCCGAAGGAAACAAGGGAAGAAAAAAGTAAAAACACCAGCAGGGATTGAACCTCTGACCTCCTGAATACTAGCCTAGAGCGTACCCACTACACTACGCGTGTAAGAGGCGACCATCGCGTTTTTCACATTATGAAGCGACGTCGCAGCAGCAAGCTAGTGAAGAAATTAGGGTGACAAAAAAGAGCTTTTTTTCGTCCTTGAAGTGTTTTTTTCAGGTTTTTAAGTACATAGCTATATTTATACTTCAGAGTTATATCTTTTGAGTAAAAATGAAATTTTTGAAATTTTTGATGTCTACCCTCATTTAAAAATTAAAAAAATCGAAAAAATTTCAAAAAAAAATTTTCAAGTTTCAAGATGTTTTCAGTACGACTCCTCAAATATCGATGTGGTTCTCAATCACGTCTGCAATTTACAATTCATCCCAAACACTCTTCAACGATTGGTTGCCGTGGCATTTGACGAAAAATCCGAAATGATTCTCCGAAAAAATTACCCGGAAATTCCGAATGTTTTGATAAATTTGAAGCCAATTGTGGATTCGATGGACCCAAAAAAACAGAATCGCGGATATTTGGTGTATACATTGGCGCTGGTGGTCCATGCGAAAATTTGTGCAAGTTTGGCAGCTCGTGGCATTGATTTTTGGTCCATGCATCAAGTAGGAATTCAGACTTTCTTAAAAATTCCAAAATCATGAAATTCAGACATTCCAAAAATTCCAGAAATTCAAAAATTCAAAATTCCGGTTTCTTTGATTATAGAAATTCTATACTTTCGAAATTCAAAAACTCAAAAATCCAAAATTTCAGGACACATTATGGACCCAAAATTTCGATATGATGAATGTTGAAGACCGCTATCCAGATGCCAATATGCTTTTCGATACTATTGGAAATGAGGTAATTTTTTTGGAACTTTTCGAAAAGATAACTGATAAAAAATTTAGAATCCCTCATACGACAGAATGCGTGACTGGGTTTGTGGTGCCACATTTTTTGTCAGAGGCAACCCGACGACGTTTCAATTTTTCAGACAGGTAAAAATATAGGATGTTGGTCAAAAAATTGAAATTTTTCATCCTCAAAAAATATTGGCATCAAAAAATTGCATTTTCAAAGTTCATTTTCAGGAAATCTTGAATTTTAGAGCTAGAAAAATCAAAATTATGGAATAATAAATAAAAACTCGAATTCATCGTGCTGTTCTCCCCAAGACACCAAATATAAGGTTCCTAGCTCAAAGTGTCGTAAAATCTGGTGCATCTGGTTGTGTTTGCACACCAAACATCACACCTTACGACACTTTGAGCTAGAACCCTCAAGTTTGGTGCGTAAGAGTAAAATGTCATGTAGAATTCAAATTTTTAAATATCAACTTTCAAAAATTGCTCATCAACTGGTTTTTTGCGGTAGTGATGTCATGCCCTCTGAAAGTCAGAATTACGTCATAAAAACCAAAAAATTATGAAATACCCGTGCCTTTTTACCACAACTCGGTGAATTTGAGGTTTCTAGCTCAAAGTGTCGTAAAATCTGGGGCATTCGGTGTTTGCACACAAAACACCAAACCTTATGACACTTCGAGCTAGAGCTTTCAAAAAAGGTGTGCAGGAGTAAAAATGCATGAGGAATTCAAATTTTTTAGTCTTAACCTCTGGGAAATGCTCCTTAACTGGTTAAAAAACACTTTTTCAGCTAGAGTCCTACATGCTATCTTATCAATCACCAGACTCTTCGATAATGACATATCTATGTGGTCATCACCATTATAAATGTGAATTCCTACCCCAATGGATGGTTTCTTCGTTTAACTATTTCGAAGGACCCAGAGAAAATGTGCCAGTTTTGATTCAATTGGATGGAGGGAAGAAACCGGGAGAATCGAAAATGGATGTTTTGAAAAGAGGACATTTTGTGTTTAGAAACCAAAATGGGACATGTAATGAGAGGAGCTTTCATAAGTTGAGGTAGGAATTTCAGAAAAAAAATTAAAGATTCAAAGATTTGAAAATTCAAAAAATGAAAAGTTCAGAGATTCAAAAATTCAAAACTTCGTAAAATTAAAAATGTCAAACTTCAAATTTCAAATTTCAATATTTTTTCAGAGACTACGTCAAATACGGATTCCCAGATGCCATTCGGAAAGATGGATCCTTGAAGGAAAATTGGTCTTCGAAAACGATATATTTCTTCAAAAATCTTTTTAATATTGATCCATGGAATCGCAAATTTTATTTGACTATTCATCAATCATTGATTTGAATTCTTTAATTTTGTAAAATTCTGAAATTTCAAATTTTCTATTTTTGTTCAATAATGAATAAACGGGTTAAAAATAAGTATTGATTGATTTTTTCTATTTTTTGGATGTTTAAGATTTTTCTGAATTTCTGAATTTCTGATTTTCTGAATTTCTGAATTTCTGATTTTCTGAATTTCTGAATTTCTGATTTTCTGAATTTCTGAATTTCTGAACTTCTGAATTTCGGAATTTCTGAATTTCTGATTTTCTGAATTTCTGAATTTCTGAACTTCTGAATTTCGGAATTTCTGAATTTCTGAATTTCTGAATTTCTGAATTTCTGAATTTCTGAATTTCTGAATTTCTGAATATCTGAATTTCTGAATTTCTGAATTTCGGAATTTCTGAATTTCTGAATTTCGGAATTTCTGAATTTCTGAATTTCTGAATTTCTGAATTTCTGAATTTCTGAATTTCTGAATTTCTGAATTTCTGAATTTCTGAATTTCTGAATTTCTGAATTTCTGAATTTCTGAATATCTGAATTTCTGAATTTCTGAATTTCTGAATTTCTGAATTTCTGAATTTCTGAATTTCTGAATTTCTGAATTTCTGAATTTCTGAATTTCTGAATTTCTGAATTTCTGAATTTCTGAATTTCTGAATTTCCGAATTTCTGAATTTCTGAATTTCTGAATTTCTGAATTTCGGAATTTCTGAATTTCTGAATTTCTGAATTTCTGAATTTCTGAATTTCTGAATTTCTGAATTTCTGAATTTCTGAGTTTCTGAATTTCTTAATTTCTGAATTTCTGAATTTCTGAATTTCTGAATTTCTGAATTTCTGAATATCTGAATTTCTGAATTTCTGAATTTCTGAATTTCTGAATTTCTGAATTTCTGAATTTCTGAATTTCTGAATTTCTGAATTTCTGAATTTCTGAATTTCTGCATTTCTGAATTTCTGAATTTCTGAATTTC